CCCCCCCCACTCCCCTTCTTCCTCTTCCCTTTTCCTCTTTTCGAGTTGATCTGTCATGGGATGGAGTCTCGGATTGACCCTCTGGTAGGATCGTGAGACTGTGCGGATGGATTGTTTCCTTCTGGGCTGAACGAGGCATGACCGTTACTTTACTTACTCTTACACACGCTTCTCTCCGCTCGTTTCATCTACGCGCCTGACAAGCCAGCGCACTTACTCGACTACTCTTCGCTCGTTTATCGCTGTCACTATCCGCCCCCCTGGTCTCGATAGGCGTCTATTTCTACTTCAACTTCCCTTCGATTCCTATCATTTCAACCTGGTCTCTTCTGTCCACCTCTGTCAACATCGGAATCGGTAATTGAAATCGTCGATTCACCTGCGTTCGCCCTCCGATCATCGCTCAGTGTTGTCGACAAATGTCCAGCGGGAACTGGGGTTCAACAGCTCGTGGCCATGGTCACAGGAAATGCAGACTTTCGTTATCCGCCGCCCCCTGCTGGCGCGCATGATATCCCTAGCCGGCGCAGAATCCCGAACCCACCCCGCCTGGATCCTCTGAGATTGAATCCTCCCTTCCCACGACCGGCGACGGCGGACGGCCCTCGGCCGCCCTTTTCCCCTCACCACCCTCCTCCTCCTGTGCCTCGTTCCCCCCGGATTCGCCCACCGATCCCACCGCCGTCCGATCCCTCATGGCGCTCCGTCTCCCCCTTGCCCGTGGAGGATGACGACTTTGTCATTCGCCAAAAGGCCTACCGCTCCCCCACATTTCCTCTGCAGCCGCCTGTTCGGTCCAGGGCCGCCCCCCGAGAAGGGGAGGTTGATCGTCCACCTTACCGGAAGTCCCCGCCTGCTCCGCCAGCGTTGCGCACGTCCAATTCTACGTCGAAACTACATGGCATGCGTCCGCAGCTGCACCCTCATCGAAATCGAGAACGCCTGCCAGACGAATCCGCCGCCCTGAGATTGCCCCGAATCATCCCGCCTGGGACATACGCCGAGATGCGCGGGCAAGATGCTCTCCGATCCAGCGTGAACTCGGCCATGACCTCGCGGTCGAGCATTGAACATGCCAGCGGAACCGAGCGGAGCAGTGTCCTGACCAAAAGTAGCTCTATTACCGATCTGTCGCCCGATACACCGGATGGCTCCTATGATAAGGAGGGTGGTATGAGTGTGGAAGATGCAATCTCAATGTACCTGGATGGCTTCAGCGATGTCACCGAAGAGCCAGGGTCGCCCGGGGTGTATGATTCTTCAGGGTTTTACGATGAGAGCAAGGCTCGACCATTGAGCCCACGTCCACCCACGGAGATCACCCTCGATGATTGTCATAGCTCGGATGAGCATTCTCCTGAACTGGAACCCACAGAAGATGTTCCGCCTGTTCCGCCCTTTCCCAAGTTAGAGGCTCACGGAAGGAGCTCACCGGATGAAGAATTCTTGGGCGAGACAGCTTCCCACGACCAGTCGCCGAGTCCCCCTTCGGAACGCAAGTTTTTGGATCCGCCTGTTGCACGAGAGCCGGAGACCACAGTCATCATTCCTGGCATCGTGCCGCCACCGTTACTACCCGGCAATGGGGCCCGCGACTGTTATGGCTTCCGCAAGGCAACCCACCACGTTACCCTCGTCCAGTATGAAGCATGGCATGCCCAATACAAGGATTACACTTCTCAGCGAAGAATCAAGTGGGTGGAGCTGCTTCGGGAGAATCGGCTTCCTATCAACGAACCGACGACGTTTCCCCCCAAGTCGAACAAGGTCAAACGGTTCGTGCGCAAGGGCATCCCATCCGAGTACCGCGGTGCAGCATGGTTTTTCTATGCGGGAGGCTACGAGCATCTGAATCGGAACCCTGGCCTCTATGACCAGCTGGTTCGACAGTCCATGGAGTCGCCTAGCAATGACGACAAGGAACACATCGAACGCGATCTGCATCGAACCTTCCCGGACAATATTCACTTCAAGCCGGAGAACGTTGACTCGGCCGCTAGCTCTGGTAGCAGCAACCCGAGACACGGGTCTGTCACGGTTGAAACGGAAATGATCCAGTCTCTGCGGCGCGTCCTGTATGCTTTTGCTCTTCACAACCCGCAGATTGGCTACACCCAGTCGTTGAACTTCATCACCGGAATGCTGCTTCTGTTTCTTCCGGAAGAGAAGACGTTCTGGATGCTGCACATCATCAGCTCCGTCTATCTCCCCAGCACGCATGAAATCAGTCTCGAGGGCGCCAACATCGACCTGTGGATTCTTATGGTGCTGCTGAAGGAATCGGCGCCCAACATCTACAACAAGATCGCCGGGAGTGGACCTGGCGCGGGGAGCGGGAAGGTGCCAGCCCTCACGGTCAGCTCGCGTCTGCCCGACATCACCCTGGGGCTGACCAACTGGCTCATGTCCGTCTTTATTGGCACCCTGCCGCTGGAGACCACGCTCCGGGTCTGGGATGTGTTCTTTTACGAAGGGTCGAAGACGTTTTTCCGGGTGTCGTTGGCGATTTTCAAGTCGTGCGAGCAGGATATCATGGGGGTGTCGGACCCGATGGAGGTATTCCAGGTGGTGCAGACGGTCCCAAAACGGCTGTTGGATGTGAATTCGTTAATCGATGATTGCTTTGTCCGGCGACATCGGGTCGGACAAGGGCGGATCGAGGAGTTACGCGCGGCGCGCCGGACGGCAGTGCGCCAAGAGAACATGCGTCGGTCGCGCGCGATGAACATGGGCCAGCTCCAGGCGGCGACGGACGACTGGGCGCATGGACGATCGCGAACGCCGACTCATGGGATCGAGCGCAGTATCGCGGATTCCTGGCGGCACATGAAGCGTCACCATGGCTTTCGATGAAAAGGGGGGAGGGAGGGCGTTGAGGTTGCCCAGGCGGGCATGCTATGTATTTATTGATACCCAGATTAGCTTGATTCTACACTCTTCGGCTGTTTTTTTGACGCAGACGTCACTTGTTTGCTTTTCTGTTGGTTGGTTGAATAACTAATTGCTGTTACACTGCTAATACTTAATGAAGGACCGGCAGGCAGACAAGTTGGTGTACATAGACAGGACGACGCGAGTGGCAATTAATGTTTCATTTGTTTTGATGACGCTGTGATCTGAGATGGATGGAGTACTGGAGGAGTAGATTTGGGTTGAGCGATCCATGGACGAGCTCGGCGGAGTCGGCGGGAGACGATCATTCTGATCGATTCTCTCACGATGACGCGCTCTGTTGTGCGGGTGTAACCTTCGGCCAGCGCCGCATGCGTCTTCACTGACTGAACTTTTTTTCACTTGATTCCATTTCTTCCTCATGTTGACTACCTCCAGACTTCTACTGGTTCTTGTCGGTTTTACACAGTATAACTATAGATCGACCTCTTCATTCACCTGTCTCCCGCCTACACAGCCACAGCATGCGGCAACCATGAGCGGTCAAGCAGCCAGCTATTACAACACCGACCAGCGCTTTGACGGCCCTCCGTCTCAGCAGCAGCAGCAGCAGCAGCAGCAGTATTACAACAATGGCTACCCTCCTGCCCCCAACGGAGGAGACTACCGCGGCCCGGAGCCCAAACCACCTCAGCCACCACAAGAACCACCCCCAACCTACAACCAAGCCGTCTACGGCTTCGACGACGCCTTCAAGGTCGAGAAACCGAAATGGAACGACCTGTGGGCTGGTCTTCTGGTACCTCCCCCCCTCCCCCCTCCTCCCTC